ACAGAAACAAAATGGACAAAAAAAAAATACAAATCACAATAGACATCATCACAGATTCAGACACCTCAACTAAAGACCTGGGGCTCTATTTTGGTGCCTCGCCGGAGACGTGCCGCAAGCGCAGAGTCAATCAGATCCGCCGCGCTGACAAGGCGTTCCCAAGCACATTTTGGTATTTTGGTGAGCCGCGCAGCCCGGTGTAAGTATCCCCCCTCCCTAACTCAGCTCCTCCCGGCAGCATAAATCATAGAAGGGGAGGCGAGAGGGCGTATAGGGGTTTAACACAGCCGAGACCTGTTTTCACCAATCACATTAGCTCCTCTCCTCGCCTTTAAATCCGCCACAGGCGAGGCGTATTACTATTTTCATGAAGTAGTCAAAGAGATCAAGAGATGTCTGAAGACAGTTATGCCACACGATGGTGACAGAGGGCAGCTGCTCAACAAGTGTCCTCCACACTCTCTCATCTGAGCACAGATGGATTTGGTGTGCGTAATGTTGGACCCACTGGTAAGACAAACACCCTTTTCCACAAATAAAGACACTCACATAAAGTTGCATATATTCAAACCTCACATGACAAAGGTGGGTTGAGCGCACAGATCACAACATAAACTCCAAAAAGGCATTAAAATCGGAACCATCTGTGCGTAAATGACGCATCGCGCTCCGTGGCCTGGCTCTTTCTTTCATAGATGTTGGCATATAAAATAAATTTGGCTCACAAAACTGAATATTATAATATCCGTATGTCGGCTTAAAGTAGATAACGCATCTGAGCACTGAAACAAATCATCTGTTCAGCTGCAGCAGCAGCAAGACGGACAGAGGACACGGAGACGTGTCCAGGTCGAGCTGTGCGAGAAATAAGAGGAAGAGGAAGAAAGAAAAGGAGGGAGACGAATTACATATCTTGTTAACTTCATCATGTGTGTATATTTACTAGATATTTAATTTAATTTGATGCGGTTTCAGCTGTGTTGATTCGGTCAGGTTGTGTGTCCAAACGCGTGCCAAACGCGCTCATCAGATCAGATATAGATCAGAATATATCGATATAGATCTAAATATATGTGCTGACTCAGATTAATAGTTGATGATGATTATTTATTGCACTGAAATGTGCCTGATACTGTGGAAACCTGCCGGTGAGGCATCAGTGACGTATGTCGATACGCCGCCGGTCTACCAAAATACTACAAGACCAGCTGCGTTCCGCCTTGCGCTGAAAGCTGACCAGGTTTGAATCGGCGAGCTTTCAGCGCACTTTACACGCCGTTGGCGAGCACGAAAATGTCACTGCGCCAGCTGATTCTGTCGACACCTCCCCCTGCCACACCACCACGCCCAGCTTGGCGGATCTCGGCTCGCCTCCGTGCGGCTCATGCCACGAAAATACCAAATTGGCCTTACGCTGGGCTCCGCCAGACGAAAATACAACTGCGCGGGGCTCGCCGCCCTCCGCCGCCTCAACCGGCGCGCATGAAAATAGAGCCCAAGGACTTAGCCAAACAAACAACAATAACACAACACAAAACACAAGGTACAAATAAGGGTCATTGCATAACAGATCTGATACACAGAATACTGAATACTGATGCCTTATTGAAAACATGAGCAAGTAGTCCCGAAATAAGACGACAGTGTAGTTTTGAACAGTTTAAAAGAGGAAATAGACCGAATATGTATCGGTAGGTTATTCCAATCAGAAGGACCTAAAGGATTTTTTAGAGACTGATTTGAAAACAGTAGGAGTGACAAAGAAGACTTATGAGCAATGTCTAAGTTGATGTCTAGAGGTGATTTGATTCATATATTGTTTTAAGTAAAGTGGATAATCATAATAAATGCATTTGAGCCAGTTCTAGCCAGTGCTGCTGTCGTCTGATTGAAGGAGATGGTAGATTGAGTGTTTCGTACATGGTGCAATGATGAGTGGTGTATGGACAGTCAAGAATAAATCTGCATGAACGATTGTAAATTGTATTAAGTGGAAGAAGATTCGTGTTCGGTGCAGTTTGATAGACAATGTCAGCATAGTCCATCATTGGAAGTATGAGTTGTAGAACCAGTTTTTTTCTAATTGAAAATGTAAAACATTTTCTATTTCGATATAGAACACCAGCACTGAAGTTTATCTTTCTAGTTGTGTTGTCAATATGACATTTAAAAGAGAGTTCAGAATCAAGCCATAGGCCAAGGTATTTGATATGGTCAACTCTGTACAATTGTGTACCATCAATACAGGAGATACAAAGTGACTGGTTTGAAGTTTTACTTGCCAAATTCTGTTTAGTTTCAAAGAGCATGGTCTTGGTCTTTGATTTATTCATAATTAGTTTATTAGCTGAAAGCCAGAATTCGAAATGGTTAAAGTTTGACTGCAAAGAAGACTGAATATGAGAAAGTGTTTCTTGTAAAGTGTATATTACAGTGTCATCAGCATATAGCTGTACACTGCAGTCAGAGAATATGGAAGGGAGGTCATTAATAAAAACAGAAAATAGAAGGGGACCTAGGGTAGACCCTTGCGGCACACCACGTTCCTGAATAATTAAATCGGATTTGTAGCCTTTTATGGCAACACACTGCTTTCTGTTATGGAGATAGGAGTTAAAAAACAATAACCCGTTACATGATAGACCAATAGAGAAAAGTTTATCCACAAAAGATAATGATTCACCAAGTCAAAGGCTTTTGATAAATCAATAAAGATGGCACCTGTGAGGTTGTTATTACCAGATGAGGAAAATATATCGTTCATAAGTTTTAGAAGAGCAGTAGTTGTTGAATGATTGGCACAAAAACCAGATTGAAACGGTGATAAAGTATTATTTTTGTTGAGGTAGTTAAACAGTTGATTATAAATTAATTTTTCGAAGATTTTTGCAACAGAGTATAGAATTGAAATTGGTCGGTAATTATTTGGATCGAGTGCATTGCCTGCTTTGTGCAGAGGAATGATTTGAGAGTATTTCCAAATAGCTGGAATGTCATTGGTTGATAGGGAGAGATTAAAAATATCACTGAGAGGGTACATTAATACCTGTCGAGCTAATTTGAGAAATTTACTATCAATACCATCCAAACCAGGGCTATTACAGGCTTTGAGATTGGTAATGGCTTTAAAAACATCAAGAGGTGAAATTTTTTAAAAGGAGAAGGAACTATAACAGAGAGGAGAGTTATTGAAAATAGCATAAGGATCATTCATTGTGGGCCTACGAACTGAGGAGAAATGTTGGTTAAAGGCCTGTGCTACTAAAAGGGGATTGTGTAATAGGGTGTTATTAACTTTTAATTGATTGCAGTGAGAGTTTTTATCAGCTGAATTAGTAATTGTTTTTATTTTTTTCCAAAATTGTTTAGGGTTTCTAGTATCATGATTAAGACAGTCTTTGTAATAGTTAGATTTTGCATTCCTAGTCATTACTTTACTTTTGTTTCATAAAAGTCTATATGTTTCCCAATTTGCTGGATCCATAGTCTTGCGATAGAGGGCCCAGGCCTTGTCCCTTTGTCTGAAAATATGAATCAGTTCAGATGTGACCCAAGGAAGGACCCTTGACCCTGATGGTCTTGAACGGGGGGCATGCTTATTAATAATTTTCATCAATTCAGAGTGAAGGAAATTCCATGCTTCATGAACATTAGAGATGATTTGGAATCGGTCCCAATTAACCAAGACCAAATCATTAATAAATTCATCTACATTAATCTTCTTTTCTTGTCTGATTTGGATACATTTCGGGGGCAGTTTGGGCAATTTAATTTTCCAGATACAGAATACTGTACAATGGTCGCTAAAACAGTCAGAGATTATACCGGATATAATAAATCGATTCGGATGTGAGACTAAGATCCAGTCTAACAGGGATTGACAAGTAGGTGTGACCCGAGTGGGTTCACTGATTAGCTGGGTTAGATTAAGGTTCTCAAAAATGTTTTTAAAGTTCCTCAAGGCCTTGTCTAACCAATTAAGGTTAAAGTCACCAAGACAAATGAATTCGTTATTATCATTTATAGAACAGAGTGTAGAGGCTATACAATTGAATGAGTCAGCAGGGGCTGAGGGAGGTCTATAGATATTGGCAATAGTTAAGTACTTATTCTCATGTAAAATAACCTTCACAAAAATTCCCTCAAAATGAACAGGTGCGACAGTAGGCACGATTAATTCAGAGGCAAGATCTGCTGCAACATATGTAATTAAGCCACCACCCCTAGAACCTCTGTCAGCTCTGTATGTGACATAATTGGTAAGGTTAATTTCATTATCAGGTATCATACTATTAAGCCAGGTTTCAGAAAGTGTAATAACACTGGGTTTGTGCTGTTCAACCCATGGCCGAATTAAATCAATTTTGTGCCTAAGGCTCCTTATATTCAGGTGTATTATTTTAAATTCTTTTGAACTATCCAGGTCTTAATGTTTGAAATAACAGCACCAGTAAAACAGAGCAGATCAAAAAACAAAGTGTAGAGAAAATGCAAAGAGCACAAATGTACATCCATGACAGACAAAAGACAAGCACAAGACAAGGACAAGACTAGGACAAGACAGAGACAGACAAGGCACAGCATAAATAAAACGACAAAAAAAAAAAAAAAAAACAGAAACCACCCATCCCATATAACCCTGACCCCAGAGGCTCAAGGATTTGGGTGAGTAGTCTGACATGAACCTTAACTCCCATGCCAACAGATGAGAGAGTGAGAGAGAGAGAGTGAGATACACATACATACACATATGCATATACATATATACACACACACACACACACACATATATATATACATACATACAGTATCACTGAGTACACATATAAAGCATGTATGTGTCACATAACAGCAGTCAACCGCAGTGTCAAACTCATAGACTGTATTGTCAAACTGCACAGAGACCAGTCAAGCGTAGTCATGGTGATGAGAAACACCAGTGACATCGAATTAATGCGTCCATGAGTGCAACAACAGCGAGAGCATGCTGCGTGACGTCATCAGCGCACGTCAATGTTTACAGCATTACCACCGGAAACTGGAGCAGACAGGCAACTCGTACACGGTAAATCCTCTAGAGTATCATGAAATACAATTTCATCTCCACTGCAGCTCAACCAGTACGTGACACGAGGATTCCTATACAGTTTGCCATCGATATAAAGTTCTATAAAGTTCTTCTTACTTTTTCGAGCATCAGCCATGATCGGATAGAGTAGCCGCCGTCTTCTCATGATCTCTGCTGGAAATTGATCACTCACGGAATGGACAGTATTCTTGAGCTCCTTTCCCTTGGACATGATGCTGGATTTCATTTTGGAGTCGGTGACTTTTGCCCCGATGGGACGGGGCTTCTGCTGATCGCCCTTGGCTTTCCCCAGGTGGTGGACTCTGGAGAAACGGATGGCGTCAGCTTCATCCGGCTCCATCTTCAGGTGGAGAGCTGCCACATCACAACTTGAAATGTACTCCAACTAAAATTTTCCTCTCCATTCCAGGAACGAGACAGAAGGGGCCAGAATGATTAAAAATGTAAACAAATGTCATTAATAAAATAAAAAAAGGAAGTCAAAGGTCTCTGTCTCCTCTCTTTCTTAAGTATAAGTGCCCAATCATGTGAAAAATTGTTCTGTTATAGCCCGCCGCACAGCCCTGCCAGTCGGATGGTCTAAGGTGATGGGATCCACCACATCGGGGGGGAGTGGGTCAGCAGGTGGGACCCTCTCTTTCTACATGGTGGCTATGTTGTGCAACACAGCACAGGATGTAATAATCTGGCAGGCCCGGCGTGGGGTCACCCTCAGGTCATGCAGGCAGCTGAAGCGAGCCTTCAGGATGCCAAAGGTCATCTCTATCCTGACCCTGGTGCGGGAGAGACCCACACTGAATTGTGTTTGTGGCCCTGTACCAGGGTCAGGATAGGGGGTCATAAGGTAGGGCAGGCAGGGATATCCTCGGTCCCCAAGCAGCACTCCATGGAGAAGTCCTGTGAATGAAGGGAGATGTCATGATCAGTGTCACAAGGAGTCTGATGAACATCAAAACACGATGTGCATAATGCAAGAGCCACACCCTGCTCCAATGTTCGGCAGAGCCTAGACTCCCGGAAGATCCGAGAGTCATGAACCGAGTTGGGCCACTTCGCATCCAGGTTGGTGATCACACAACTGTGATCGCAGGTCATCTGCAACAGCAAAAAGAACCATAATATGACAGCAGCAGATGAAAGGCAGCAATGTGCTTTTGCCTTCCCTTGATAAAGCTTTGACACTTTCTGTCCTGTGAGTAGCGATGCAAAAGACATTTCAGTAGTCAGTGTCCATGCAGGCACTTAGCTGGTGTGACTGAACAATTAGTCTTAAAATATCAATCGGTGCAAACCTAACAGGCACAGGGGAGATTTTGGGGGACTCTGTGTGTGTGTGTGTGTGTGTGTGTGTGTGTGTGTGTGTGTGTGTGTGTGTGTGTGTGTGTGTGTGTGTGTGTGTTTGTGTCTCAATGTGCAGATAGCATGTATATCATATGCAAGTTACCTGAATGTTGAGGCTGTGGTATGACCTGCGATTGACAAAGTCGCCCTCATCTGGCCCCAAAGGCCCAGTGATGCGCACGTGAGTGCAATTGATGGCACCTATGACCCTTGGGAATCCTGTGAAAGGAGCTGACTTCATTTAATACAACAGTGTATGTGCCACAGAGAGTATCTTGCAATGTATGAATGAATGGACCGTGGTAAAGCGCTTTGAGTGAGCAGCGTGTGGTTAGAATAGCAATATATGATTGTGATCCATTATTTATAAAACTGAATCTGATGAGGCAACATGCGAAACATGTGCTCGCCCTGTTTTAACACTTTTTGAATAAAATGTGTCTGTCATGACACGGTGTGCGCTTGAAGATTTTTATTTTTCACTGTAATCCATTATTGGGCCTATTTAATTTATAGTTCCATTGATCAGACTTACCTGCAATGGTGTAAAAGCCTTCTTTGATTTCCTGGATGGGCAAGTGGCCTGGGAATGCCACAAACCCATCCAGGAGCTCGGTGAGGGCTGTGGACACCCTCTGGATGGCGCCACACACTGTTGCTTTGCTTAAGTGTTCTGCGTCGCCAACAGTATATAAATATGTACCCGACGCATAAAAGCGAAGGGCGATACACACACTCTGCGGGGCCATTAGCGCACAGCTTCTACGAGTGTCGCAAGCCACGTATGGCTCTGAAAGCTGTACATGTACACCAACCACTCCCTGGAAAAGCGGTACCTGTCATAAAGGTGGTCATCTGGAAAAGTAAGTGGGTCCGTGCTGTCCCTGAAAACTCTCGTGCGCCGGAGTGCTCCTTGGACAATGCAAGCACAGAGGTCTACATGATCCTCCAAGAACGGACAAGCCATTTTTCGAGAGAGCTCATTGGTCAGTAGGTGGGGTTTTTATACTCGGTGAGTTCAATCTGGAACCTAACCTGCCCGGAGCAGGTTAGCCGTTCAGCGTATGTTGCCATGGAGACTCACCTTGCTAAGAAGTGAACCCGCGTTGTTGAACAGGAAACCCTGAACTTACCCTCGAAGTTACCTCGCTAAGCAGTAATCTTGCTTTGTAGAACAGGCCCCTGAGCACAGTCAGACTGTTTTGATGTGATTGTTTGATTTTGTCAGAAGAGATACAGGTTCATAAACAGAGTTTCAAACAGGGTTTGATTTTCACAGTTTGAAGAAAAGGGGTCTGAAATTCAAGAAATGTGTCTCCAAAAAAGAAAAAAAATCTTTGAAAGCAAGTCATGCAGCAGTTAGTGTAAGATTGCAGCCGTGACCAAAGTAGTAGGAGATCCTTTTTTTTCCTGCAACTCTAATTACAGCCTCTAAAAATTCAGCAGCTTTGGTTTCATATATTCATTGTTTAAAAAAGTTAATTTTAAAGAGAACCTTTGCTTTACTTCTCCACTCTTGAAGCCAAATCTTATTGAGCTCTTCTTCAAACAGAGATTCTATTCAATGATCCCACTGTTTAATCACACCAAAGCAGAGAAATTACAGTAATTCTGACTTTTTTTTTCTATCGTTAAAAAGTTCCACATAAGAACGTGCACCATGCAGACATGTTTGATAAATCTCGTCCTGCAGCACTCTGGAAACAAAGTACTGCACGATGAAAATGTGATGCAGATGAATGAAATGAAATTTAAAGAGCAAAGTTTAGAAGCCCTACAGTGAGTTGCATCAGCAGGATGGACACCAGCCAGTGGGACTTATTTAGCAATCAAAACATGACTGAGCACTGTGTCTGCTGCTCTTATCTGTCTGCTGTTCAACAGAGACAAACACAGCAGGCTCACAGCTCTCATCCATGATTGAATTATAAAATCCATTGCTTTGTTTTCTTTGTTCATGTTCAGAATAGATGGCCACATTAGTGCACTGGTAGATCAATTATCTATGACTTACAAAAGCCTTCAATGCTTCCTTGTAGAGGTTTTGTACAGCAGTAGAGTAGAGGAGCATAACTTGTTCCATAAACAACAATTACCAAAACCAGAAGTGAGGAGACACACAAGAGACTTTTCTTCCAAAGATATTGACTCAATGGTATAATTCAAAATAATTTTTGGAGCTCTGATCTTTTCATAGGTTCAAACAACACCAACACCAGCTTCTGACTGCTTAGTGTTTGTGTAAATAGTGAATGCACATCAATACTGATTTTTTTTTTTTTTGTCAGAAATGACATTTTTGATCTATCATGTAATCTGCTTTGTTGACAACAGGTAGATGCCTTTTGAACATAACAAATAAAGTGGAAATATCACAAATATACATAAATTAAGAGGCAATTAGAAGATTTAAGCTTTAGAATAAGTTCAAAATCCAAATAAATTTTTTGAAAAAGACTTAATATGTGTATTTTCTATGTGTTCAATGATTTAAAAAAAAATAATGATAATAAATAAATAAATAAAAGATGCATAAAACAAAGTGTGTTGTGTGATGCTATGGCTTTGTGGACAGGCAGGACATATGACAGCTTCTTTCTAAAAGAAATTAAAGCTCCTGGGAGGAATTTTCAGTTTGCATCAACTTTGGCTCTCCCTGCAGACAGAACAGAAATTGCTTTTCTTGTCATAGGCTGTATTGGATGAGTGAGATTGTGTTGGTTCGTTCCACTTCAGTGGAGCAACATAAACTGTGATTCATAAAATAGCTCTATTGATAGTCGATTTTTAGTAATCAGTGTTTTGGTGTCGAACTATTTCCTTTCTGCGGCGTAGTGATACTTGCACACGCGCAATCGTATATGCAGAAAGGTGAAGCGATTTTAGTCACATGGACCAATAGGAGTCGAGTCTCATTGCCATAGTATCAGAAATACACAAACATGGCGACGAGCTAATCTAGCAGCGAGACAAGTGAAGAGGAAGAAAAGAAAAGGAAAAAAAGAAAACAGCCTTCAAAAGTGCATAGAAAAGGAACGAAACGATGCTATATGCATCTATCATCCGTCCAGAGTGAAGACGTTCTCCACTTTACAAGGACACGTTGGGAAACTTACAGAACTAGTATTGGAAAGTGTCTTTCTCTACAGGGTGAGACAAAGGACCTTGCGGAAACTTATAAACATTGCATTGTTATCGACTTTGACAATGTTCCTGATGATGCTGGGTTTCACATGACATGCTACCAGACAAAATCTTTCTCAAATGTCATAAATACATCTACCTAACACCTGAAACAGTTATTGGTGCCTTAGTATACGCATTAGTGAATTCAGATTATGAAATGTAGCAAATCTCTTGAAGAAAACGTCTCAACTCAAGTGATTTGCGCCCAGCACAATGAAATATATACAGTAAATTTAGCGAAAAGCTTATGTTTCATACATAAAAATGACACAACCTACTGTGTAATAAAAGCAATAAAATATAAACAGCACATCAGGCAGGATTTGTGAAGAAAGTGAAGGGGCACACATTTTACCAGTGTTGGTACAGGGTGTCACTTGTTGGGGGAATGGACAGTTCTGGCAAAGCTGACGAGGCCATGCAGAAAGATTTGTATCTGACATCATTTACATTTTTGGCAGATGACTGAGTAATTATGTGTGCCACCTGTATGGCCAGTGTGTTAAAGTTGGATTGGTCAAGGTTAAAACTGTTGCCCAGATTTGCAAACCCAGTCAGGTATTCTTCTTTCTGACAAGCAACAGAAAATGTTTTTCTTTTGCCCTTGCCATGAAAGGCACTGGTAGAGTCACAACATGTGAATGTATGGATGTTCTTGTATGTCTGCAAGACTATCTTGTACAGATTTATGTCGGTGCCAAGCATGTGAGAATGCTTCAAAGGAAACAGAAGAAAGAGCTGTATGGGATGATGACTCTGATGAAAGTGATAGTGATGCATAATATACGCACCATGTCACCATGTACAATTTGTTTTGTTTAAAGGATTGCTACACCGAGATTTGAGATTTATTATTTTTATATCTGTTGCTTTCCCATCCTTGGCACTGGTTTGAGACATTAAAAACCAAAATATATAAACTTTCTATATTATTATTAATATTAGCAGTAATAATAGTAGTAGTAGTAGTATCATGATTGCTATTTTGTTTATTTTCCCGTCGTTAATTTGATTCATTCATTTGGTTAATTCCACACTCATTTTGCTTGATTTTATACAGACAAACCTGAATATGAACTCACACCCCCACATCTACACAAAATCACACACAAAGCCAGTCACCCCCAACATTTAGATTGTCAAAGTTTGTTTTCAATGTTTTTCATATTTTTTCACATCACCAATTTAAAGAAAAAAATGATGAAGGAAAAGAAGAAAAGATGAAACTTTGATAGAGTTTAATGATTTTAGTTTTCCCTTATTTTTTTAAACTCTTTTTTAGGTTATTGTATTTATGTTTTAACCTATTTTGTTACCTTTTTGTTTTTAATTTGATTTTGCTATATTTACCTAAAACTGATTTATGTTTATTTTAAAAAAAAGGAGACATAATAACTCTTCTTCTTTGTCTAAAGTTTGAATGTGAACTGTATGAACGGAAGCTGCAGCCATAATATTGTGAAAAAAAGGAAGCCTCTTGCAGAATCATGAGGCCCAGCACGCTGCACGTGTTCTAGATTGGGATGAGTGCACGGATGTAAAGCCATGAAAGAGCTGGTTCCTTTCTGATGACATTGTCTGTGTCAGTTGAGTCGTGACACCTTTCCACAGTCAGAATTTGCTTTGTGAGACAAGCAGTAATTTTTTTTGTTGCACCTACTATGCAGTTTCATGAGTAAAAATGTTCAGGGACTGGAGGCTTTGTTTCCTTACTGTGAACCAAAGGTCACAGAGTCATATGAGTCATCCCTATCTTCTGTCTCCATAAATCCAGGGAAACACTGTGTGCGCTGCATGCTAAAAGACATCCACACACCCGAGGTCCCTGCGATGATGGTTTTTGGCAGCTCAGTTCAGTGTGTGAGGCATTTTTCCTGGCATGATTTTGATGCAATGGAACCCCTGGAAAGAAATGCAAGTGCCAGGAAGCTCAACACATTCCCAGTGATTATATTTCTGTTGTGATGCTTTATTTTCTAATCCACAGGGTGAAAAAAAGGTTTCACAGCTTAACCATGACACGAGAGGACAGCTTAAACTGACTGAACCTATGATGATAATACATGCATTAACCAACAGATTAAGGTTCAGTGTAATTTCTTATTTATATATTTATTTACCAGCATTTAGCAGAACAGACTTGGTATAAATGGAAAAATAATCACAAATATGTTTAGATTAGTGTAAAAATTACCTGATAATGAAACAGGTAATAGGTTAGGCTGCAAAAACCAGCGTTTTGCTAATCCTTTGGATGCTTCTTTAGTCTCACCACAAAACTCAGACTCACAGGATGACTTTGGGCCTGTTGGGTGGCATCCAGAGGCAACTTAGAAATAACGCAGATAACTGCGAAAAAAAAAAGCTTGATGGCAAAATGACTTAGCAAAATTAAAGAAAATTTGGTAGACTTAGGCCCGAACTACACGAATGCGGATATATTTCAAACCGCACATATTTATGTCCGATTAGGCCTCCAACCACACCAAAACGGGAGTTTGGAGCACTCAAACCGGATAAATCTGAATCCGGAAAAACAAGTGGAGAAATAAAAAAATATCCG